GTATAGAACTTGAAAGACACTCATTCTTAAAAACAGACAAACAAACAAACAAACAAATAAAAACATTACACCACTAGTGATCATCGCTCTGAAGTTGAATATAATACTAGGGTAGAAAAACAGCTCTACTTCATCCGTATCTTACTTGAGGCTTAATTATTCTGTATAAATAATTCACATAGTAACTAGCAGATTTTTACTTAACACTGAAAATGCAGGATACTGGGTTGGGTGCTGCAGAGCAGGGGTCCTCAGTCCCCGTTAGGAACCAGGCCAAATGGCAGGAGGTGAGTGGCAGGCGAGGGAATGAAGCCTCATCTGTATTTGCAGCCACTCACCACGGCTCACATTACTGCCTGAGCTCCACCTGCTGTCTCATAGGAGCAAAAACCCTATTGTGAACTATGTAGGAGAGGGCTCTAGGTTGCATGCTCCTTATGAGAATCTAATGCCTGATGATCTGTCACTGTCTCCCATTACCCACAGATAAGATCATCTAATTGTAGGAAAACAAGCTCAGGGTTCCCATTGATTGATTCTGTATTATAGTGAGTTGTATAATTATTTTATTATATATTACAATATAATAATAGAAATAAAGTACACAGTAGATGTAATGTGCTTGAATCATCCCACAACCATTCCCCACTCCCCTGGTCTGTGGAAAAGTCATCTTCCACAAAACCCATCCCTGGTACCAAAAAGTTTGGGGATGCTGCCATAGGGAATGAAAAGATGAACAAGAATTTAGTCCCAGACCTCCAGAGTTCACAGATAAGATATATAAAAATAACATTGAATGTAAGGCAGAAAATTAGTCCCTAAGAAAATCTGTTTCTCTTTTCTGTAATATGAACTTTATTCTGACTCTAGTTCAGATTATGTTTTTCTGATTTCTGTTGATGTTCCTTTGTTGGACTTCCCATCAAAATGACGACTTTTGATTCCTTTCTTTTGGCCCCATCACTGTTTTATGGAAGAAAATATTCCATTGTTTTTCTGTCTTGTCAGAATTATCTGATAAAAAGATTTTCTTTTGCATTGTTTTATATTTCTACCTGATTACTTTGTGACTCTGCAGAATCATATGTTTATTTACTTCTCTGTGAATGAATATTACAATAGTTAAAAAAATAAATTATAGATAGGTGTTTCTCAATTGCATAAGTCCTTTTCTGTAAGTAGAGTGATCAGCTCAACTTAAATACTCAACATTATCTTCATGTGTTTCTCAAACATCTTGGCAGGGCATCAACAATACCCACTACTTGTTGGTGCCCCTTTGTGAAAAATTGCCCTTGGCTAAATGGGGGTGCCTCACCAGGAAGACTGTGTTCATACTTTATCTTTTTAACCTCTCACCATTGGAAAAGACCACTTCTTATAAGGAATATAAGAAGCTGGCCTCTCTGCCTCAAAGTGGGTTCAACTCTGTGGCACAGTTGGTACTTTCCCAAGGGATTTGGGGAAGCTGATCTCCAGTTGAGACCATATTCTTGCTTGACATTTTTCTCTGCCCTATGTTGTTTTTCTTAATACCTTTCTCCTAAGAGTGATTTGTGAAAATCAATTGAACAGGAACTCCCTGTCTCGGACTCCAATAGGAACACTACTTAAAACATTTTATAAAAAATAAAAATCGATTTTATAAACTTCTCCTTAAATGTGGTTTTCTTTCTATATTTCCAGTCTCTAATACGTAATATCATTTTATGGCTCTTAATCCAGAAATCTGGAAGTCACCTTTGACCTCTGCTTGTTGCTGTATATCAGTGGTTCTCAAACTTTTTGTACTCTGGATGTCTTTATACTCTTAAAAATTATCAAAAAGCCTTCATTTATTTGGGTTATATGTCTAAATATTGACCTTACTGGAAATTAAAACTGAAAAAAATAAACATTTTCTTTTAAAGGCAATATTAACTAATTATATATGAATATAAAAAATTTTTAGGAAAAATTGCTATATTCCTAAAAAAATTTAGTCTGAACATTATCATTGTTTTACATTTTTTTCAGATCTCTTTAATATCTTAATACAAGTCAGCTGGATTCTGATATTCAATTCTGTATTCAGTCTATTGCAATATTGCCAACCATGTAGCTTTGGCAAACACTGCTGGATCTCAGGAGAAAATGAGAGCAGAGTGGGAATAATGACTTACATTATTATGAAAATGCTTTTAATGTTGCAGACTCTGTGAAAAAGTCTGTTCTTGGATAACACTTTGAGAAACATCACTGCATATCAGTCGACAAATTAGTCCTATTGATTTTGCCATGAAATGTTTAACAATGTAGTTAATGACATGAGCTTCAAATATTCATAAACTTGGTTAAAATCCTAGGCAGAATTTTTCTCATGTCATTCAATTCAACTTTAATTTTAAAGAACTCGTGCTAAGGAGTCATTTATTAACATAATCTGTTTCATAGCATATGCCCTAAGTATGACAATAATTCAGGTTTCCAACGATGGCAGTAATTGAGGTTCCTGGGTATTAATACATACAACTTTAGAACATTATTAATAAAGACTTATTTTTTTCCTTGAAAGAAAATTCAAATGTGTCAGTGCTTTGTCTTTGGTTATCAGAAATTCTTGGTAAACAAACCATGTCAATCAAATTGAAGGTTTAGTTGAAAGTTTTTCCATGATTTGTGTCATCGCAAGTGGATGGACAGCAAATCTGAGCTGTTTCTTTACTTGTTCTATGGAAAGATTGAAAGTACTCAAAGCTTAATGAGGACATAATTCTTCCAACCTAATTCACACAGGCTAATAATTAAGTTATGACCAACTCTTGAGAAAGCATAGATAGACTTTAGTCTCATCCATTTCTTCTTGCCTTGAAATACATCTTTACATATTTAAGGAAAAAAATCTATCACATAAAAACTAAAGTTACTATTAGTCCTGGTTATTTTGTAATAGCAGTGATGTCAGAACTGCCATTAGAAGCAATTACTTTTATTTATTTTTAAAATTGTCCTTATTTTTGCAAAGATGATATGTCATATGGATTAAGGCTTAGCTCATTTGCTATTTTATTTTTAGAATTCAATCATAAAACATTTATTGGGCTCCCAGTGTAGTTAGGTATGATGCTCCTACTGCTAGAGATAAGAAAACAATAGACCTTTGTCTTTAACAGGCTTGCCTGTTGTAGATTTTCTTCCTTTGGTACATTTGTGATCATACAAGATATGTTTATGTAAATAAGTCCAGTTTAAAAAGTGTGTATTTTTAAAATCATCTGTAGCTCTTTATGATTGGCAATAATAGCCTGAGTATGGTGGCTTATGCCTATAATCCCAGCATTTTGAGTGGCCGAGGTGGGCAGATCACTTGAACCCAGGAATTTGAGACCAACCTGGGCGACATAGTGAAACCCAGTCTCTACAAAAAAGTACAAAATAGTAGCCGGGCATGGTGGCATGTGCCTGTAATCCCAGCTACTTGGGAGGCTGAGGTGGGAGGATCACCTGAGCCCAGGAGGTCAAGGCTGCAGTGAGCTGTGAATGAACCACTGTAATCTAGCTTGGGTGTCAGAGTGATATCCTCTCTGACCCTGCCCCCCCTGAAAAAAATTGGCCAGTATCTGTATAAAAATGTGTAATGACATTTTTATTGTGGATCATTGGCTGGTAGTTCGTGGTGGGTGACACCACTTAACAGTTTATCAAATTGTCTTCTTTAATAATTTGTTTGAGTTTTATTTTTTTTTTCTATAGCAATGCTATCCAAGAAAACTTTTTATACTAACGGAAATGTTCTTTCTGTGCTGTTCAATGTAGTAGCCACTAACCACATGTGACTATTGAGTGGTTCATATGTGGCTAGTATGACTGAGGAACGAAGTTTTGATATAATCTTACTAAATTTACATTTACATAGTTACATGTGACTAGTGTCTACTGAATGTGACGATACAGTTCTGTAGTGTATTAACTATCAGAAAATGGCAATAGTTGAATTACATAGATAGTTACTTTATTTATACAGGAACCTATTTTCAGAATTTTACTTATAGATACCTGTAGTGAAGACATTGAGTCTTCCTTAAGATTAAATTAGAATTGTTATTTTTTTCAAAGTTCTGTTAGAACTGTTTCCTATGAAAAATGTATTTTTTTCCTTTTTCATATGACAAATATTGCTATAAGGTGCATTGTAATGAATGAATCATTTTTATTCATCTCTGTTTTCATTTTTATCTTAAAGTTTAGTCAGTTATCATCCTATGTGTTGAATGGGCAAGGGGGCTGTTCAAGCTGATGAGGGAAGTAGGAGGTGGTAGGGATTAGCCATTGAGTGATGATTTTCATATGTGCAAAGGAATAAGTAGGAAAAAAATGGAATCAATAGAACTTGAGATTTAAGTCCTTGCTGATTTGGAGGAGCATTTGGTAGAGCTACCACAAGACACTTGCAAAGATGTGATTACTTAGCACAAAGGATTAATGAAAACAGGTGCCAAGTAGGACTTATCCTAGAAAGCATCCAGTGTGAGTTGTTTAGCAATCATGAAGGGAAGGGGATTGTAAAATTTTTTTCATGAATTAAAAAGCAAGTTAATTAGAGCACAACAACTGAGTGTGAATGTGAAAAATCATGCAGCAGTTTTATAGTAACAATGTTTTCTAATCAGGATGCAATGAAATTATTGGATATTTTGAGGTATGTCTGGTATGTTTAGTATTCATAATTCAACCTGATGACATCAAATCTTTATTTTTAGGGGATTTACTCTTACTTGAGGGAATAAAATTGAGCAATTTTAAGAGTCCATGGGTTCCTGGATTAGAAAGGTATAGTACAGGCTTATTAGTAGAGGAATATTTCTAGTAGCCTGAAATCTAACTATTCTGTTTAAGGAAGGGGCTGTTGATTCTGTACCTTATACTTTCTCTGTCACTCTCCCCGTACCTATTTAAAGACACTAGTTCTCTCTGACTGACCTTTTATTGATGCCCTCAAAATCTTTATTTCTATCTAGGGTGAGCCCATCACTTTCTGTGAGGAGAGTTTTGTAAAGCACCGCTCAAGCATGATGAAACAGTTCCTGGAAACTGCAGTTAACCTCCAGCTTTTTAAACAGGTAAGAGTGGACATCCACGTGTTTCTTTTCTAACAGAACATTGTCAGTTTTACACGTTTGTATTGCTATAAAACTGTACAACCCTGAGTAACATCCTTTCTAGAATTTCAGGAAATTTTTCTTTCTTTTGTAACTCGGTAGCGAGTTATGACAAAACACTCTAGGAATATTATGTAATAACTTTGTTATTAAAACATTTCTCATCAAATGTTGCTGAGCTTAATGTCTCATTGAAGAAGGATATACATTCACAGAAGAAGAGACTAGTTTTATTTATATAAGGCATCCTAGAAGAAGTTATTTTTGTATGGTGGATCAATATGGTAAACAAACTATTTTTTATAGGAGTATTCCAATGTAATACAGTTGATAAAATAATTCAGAAAATGAATATTTAACCTTTTAAGCTTTGTAAGACTTTTTAATACTCATAAATTCAGAATTAAAAATAAGACTCATAGTTATGCTGTTTGTCCTGATTTTTGGTTCAGAAAATATAATTGCTGTTTCAAAAAAGCTGTAGCTTGACATCAGATGTCAGAAATTTTGGGTGCACTGGTTCTGTCATCCCATTTTATTATAATAGCAACTCTCTTAAACTGTGTCGTCTTACTTAGTTTCTGTATACAAAATTTGAATTAAGATCCTAACACTTGCTTTTCTTATTCCACATGACAATTTTAAGTATAAAGTTTGCTATGTGAATTAAGCATTTAATGTAGACCTACTGTGTGTCATAAACTGTGCTCAGGGCCAGGATACAAAAACGAATAAAAACTCAGTAATGCCCTTGAGAAGCTGACAATCGTAACATATTTTTTTGAACTGTTAGAAGCGACGACATATAACTCAAAACAACCTTCAAATTAGGTTAGTAAAGAAATCAGCATGACAACAATTAATGCTACTACTTCTGAGGAAATTTTAAAAAATAATCTGAGATTAGAAAATACTCTGGAGCAGGGGAGATACCTGTCTTCCAGTAAGTGAAGTTTTATATTAAGGAAAGGGTTAAAGTTATCCTAAACACAAACCTAAGGGCATGAATTTCAGGATCAGAGATGTCTTGTCAATTTCCAAAAAATGGGGTGGGCTGCTTTCGGAGCTTTTTGTCCCTAGAAGTCTCCAAGCATAGACTGAATTAATCCCCAGGGTTGAAAGGAAGATAAGTGATAGTGCTTTATAAATACTGAAGTATAGCACAGTGCAGTCCCAAGCTGGTCATGTAGTGCATGCTTGTTGAGTAAAATGTCGGTACCTTGTTGTCTTTTTCTCTATCAAGAAGAGCCACTATATTCCACTATCAAAACTGAGTTGTGAAGATTAGATTATATGAGGGTCAAGGATTGAATGGGTAGGTAGAATATCTAACTTACTTTCCCTTGATCATGAGCTTCTCTGCATCTAGATCCTTACCATATTAAATGTTTTATTAAAAAGTCAATAAAACAATATTTTTTGTTTTTTGCATTGTTACAGAAGCATTTACTTTTTAGGAGTCACATATAGTTGGGTTACATCTTGACTATATCACAGAATATCTATTTTTCATTAGTATATATTGCTTTTTCTTTAAAATGGAAATATTACCACCTACCTCACAGGATTATAATAAGGTTTATGTGAATTAATACTGGTACACTCTCAGCACAGTACACGGTGCTTTGTTGATGCTCAGCAAATCTTAATGTCTGCCTCATTCTTAGAGAAATTACATTAATTAAATACGTATCTGTGTAGGACTTTTTAAAAATACAATTTGGTCAAGAAGGTTAAATGTAAAATATGAAAATAGTCAACCGAAGAACTAATTGTGTGGACAATGCAGTTTTTCCTGCACAAATTGGCTGTCGTCTAGTCCTTTTCAAACAGCTCTTTAAACAGCTGTGTACTCATCACTCTTAAAAAAGTGATACTTGAAGATAGTCCTGAAAGGATTGAAAAGATTCTTGTTGACAGAGTTTCACAAACTTCTAAAAGAAGAGTCAATTGGTAAAAAACCAACACAGATAAATCCTCAAAGACACTACTGATATGGCTGAAAAATATATAAAAATATTTATTAGCTACAAAAGATTTATGACTATGGCTTTGTGATCCATTACAGGTCTAGAATTATTCAGGTTATCTCTTAGCACAGCTTATACTTCAAATGTGAGAGGACTTTGACTCAGGAGAGCAGCATATAGTTTTAAGGAAGGAGTTAAAGTGAAGTTTTGTCTCTGATAATATGGCAGGGTAGGATCCATAGATAACCTACATGCTGCAATTTAAAACATAATATTTAAAGAACTCCTTATGTCAAAGCCTAGTGCTCACTTTGCAAGATAAGAAGTGTAATAGGAGACCCAGTTCCCATACTGCTGAGAAGAAGTAGTGTTCAAGTAAACTGGAAATAAAGGTGCTGCTTTTCTCAGTTTCCTGGAGATCTGCAGGGAAGCTTGCACATCCAAAGTGTTAGTGCTGGGTAGAGGGAAGGGAAAAGTGCTGCATAGAAGTAACCACATGTCAGCCTGCACAGGAATTTGCAACCTGAATTCATATTTTCTGATTTTGTCTGACGAAACTCAAACCCAAATTTAAAGTGATCCTAAATGTTAGTGCCCCTAGATCTCAAGAAGAAACAAACTCTTGAGGAAATCACGTACAGCCAGGCATCAAAGAATTCTTTCAGCTAAAATCCAAAAGGAAATTTTATTGTTAAAAATGATTAAAAATACAAGAAAACAACTCATAAATGAAAGCTAGCAGAAACAACAAACAAAATGACTTGAAAATACTTTAAATATTGGAATTATCAGAAATAGAATACAAAATAGCCATGTTTTACAGGTTGAAACAAGAAACAAGCTTTAAAATGTTCAGGGAAGGAAAACTTAAAATGAGTGCAAAGCCAGTTTCAAAAAGGTAGCAAATAAACTTCTGTTAAGGAAGTATGTAATAATTGAAATTAAAGAAGTTGATGGGTGTAACCGCAGATCAGATCTAAATGAAGAGAGATTTGCTAAGCTGAAGATATATTTGAAAAAGAAGTTGTACAGCATATGGTATGGAAAGACAGAGAAATAGAAAATATAGGAAGTTGATAGACATAGAGGGTAGAGTAAGAATGTCTTAAAATTCATATCATCAGTTCTAATAGGTGAAGACAGAAAACGGAGCAGAGACAGTAGTTGAAAGCATACTGCCAGAACCAATGAAAATATACCACTTTATAAATTTATGAAGTCTTAACATCCAAATTGAATAAACAAAAAAGAATCTATGCCCACACACAGTGTATATTCAGCTATGAAACAGTAAAGAAAGGTTTTTTTGTTTTGTTTTGTTTTTTGCAACTGCAGTAAATTTTTAAAAATAGAGAAAAAAGATTACCTTCAAAGGAGCAACGTATTGACAACTTCACATCAGCAACAATGGAATCTAGAAGATACTGGCATGATATCTTAAATGTCTTGAGAAAAAATACCTAGAATTCTCTGCCAAACAAAGCACCTTTTAATTATGAGTGACATGAGGACATTTACCAACAGAAACCAAGTTTCCCCCTCCCCACCCCAGCTTGTATTGGTTTTATTGATGTATCCACTTGGCTAGGCTATCATCCCCAATTATTCCATCAAACAATAATTTAGGTTTTGCTATGAAGGGATTTTACAGATAAAATTAAAACTCCTAATTATTTGACTATAAATAAAGAAGATTATTCTAGATAATTTGATTGGTGGACCTATCTGAATCAGTTGGAAAGCCTTAAAAACAGGACTAACCAGCCTGGGCAGCATGGTGAAACCCCCAGCTACAAAAAAATACAAAAAATTAGCTGTATATGGTGGTGCACACCTGTAATCCCAGCTACAGGGAGGCCAATATGGATCACCTGAGCCTAGGAGGTTGCGGCTGCAGTGAGCTGAGTGTGCCTGCCACTGCACTTCAGCCTGGGCAACAGAGTAAGACCCTGTATCAGAACAAAAAAGCAAACAACAACAACAACAGCAACAAAACAGGAATAAGATTTCCTTCAGAGAGAGAAGAATTCTACTTGTGGATGACTACTTGGGCCTTAGTTCAAGACTGCCCATGATTTTCCTTTACTGACAGCCTGTCCTGTGAGTTTCAGACTTGCTTAGAATCATATAAGCCAATTCCTTCTCATAAATCTCATGTGTGTATACGTATATGTAGAATCTCCAACTGGTTTTTCTTCTCCGGTTGAACCCAGGCTGATACATCAACAGCAAAAAGAAATCCTTAGGCAAGTACCTCAGGGAGAAAATTTTCTCAAATGAAAGATCCAAGCTGGAAGGTCTGAGATACAAGAAGTAAGGAAGAGCAAAATAAGTGTTAAATATATGGATTAAATTGAAACAGTATTGACTGTATAACACAGTCAAATTATTTCATATCTTTAAGACTCAAATGTCTCCAAATTCCGAAAAGTTCTCGTTTTGAATATTGCAAAAGGGAAATGCTCCTTAATTTATTGTGTAAGGCTAACATAGTCCTGCTTCCAAAGCCTAAGACAGTGTGGGAAGAGAGCATTATAGGCCAGTCTCACTGTCTCACAGGAAAAAATTTAGACAAAATATTTGCAACTCATTCTAGCAATGTGTAAAAAGGATACTACTTCATGATTAGTAGCATTTATCCCAGAAAGGAAATAGCACGTGAAAACCTGTCAATATAATTGAATATGTTAACTGATTACGGAAGAAAACTTATTAGATCATCTCAACGGGTGCCACAAATTGTATACAATTAATAGCTATTCATGATAAAAACTAGAAAAAAAAAAGCATGATGAAAGAGATTTTCAGCAAACATCATACTGAATCTTCAAACACTAAAAATTTCCCTCTGAGAAAGATGTCAGCTCTTCTTTTTTTTTGAGATGGAGTCTCACTCTGTTGCCCAGGCTGGAGTGCAGTGGTGCAATCTCCACTTACTGCAACCTCCACCTCCCAGGTTTTAGCAATTCTTCTGCCTCAGTCTCCTGAGTA